TGACTATAGTCGCCCGTATGCAGAGCGACTATAGTCGCCCGTAGTATCTTAGTGACATCTTATGCAGAGCAATTATAGTCAACCGTAATATCTCAATGGCATCTCATGCAGAGCGATTATAGTCGACCGTATCTCAGTGGCATCTTGTGCAGAGCGACTATAGTCGCCCTTATGCAGAATGATTATAGTCGCTCGTAGTATCTCAATGGCATCTCATGCAGAGCGATTATAGTCGCCCGTAATATCTCAATGGCATCTTATGCAGAGCGACTATAATCGCCCTTATGCAGAATGATTATAGTCGCTCGTAGTATCTCAATGGCATCTCATGCAGAGCGACTATAGTCGATCGTATCTCAGCGGCATCTCGTGCAGAGCGACTATAGTCGACCGTATCTCAATAGCATGTTATGCAGAGCGAAAGGGTTAATCGTGGTGATAGGAGAAAAATGTTTGGAAATGTTTTGCAGGCGTATGGCGGAGGAAGTTTCGGGCCGACAGCGGGAGGGCCAGGCGGTGGGCCAGGGGGAGGTGGAGGAGGCGGCGGCGGCGGAGGCGGCGGTGGAAACGGGGGTGGTGGGAGTAGCGGGGCCGGCGGAGGTGTGGAGGGCGCCACTTATTCCCCGGACTCCCCTTACTTCCCGTTCGGGAGCCGAGGGGTACCGCCTTCCGTCGGGACGCCTACCCCTACTGCCAACCCCGCGGCGCCCACCGGCACCAACGGAGCACGGTTACCGAATTCGACAGCCGGTCAGTTTTCTTCCCATCTATCATCTCCGTGTACGTGTTCCGTTAATCGTGGAGAGGGTTTTTTGAATTTCGACAATTGAGATTGTTCTTTTTTCGTTCGATTGTTTCAGGCGCGGGAACCGTAAAGAGGAAGAAGGACGTAAGTATCGTATTTTTCTTTTTTCCCCCTTCTTTTGTCTCCCTTGTGCTCCGGAGAGAAAAATTGATCTCGTACTTTTCGTTTTTTTTTTTTTTTTTTTTTTTTTTTTATCTTTTTAGCAGGCCCTTGACGGAACGGATGGCGAAGTCGTAACAACGCAGCATTGGGTGAGTGACTCGAAAAAGATTCGATAAACGCATGCCAGTCGATAGTAAATGTGTTTCCTGTCCCTACATCGGGATTCGATAATGGGGCTTCGAACGTATCGGGACCCATATGAGTTCAGCGGCGCGATTGATAAAAGCCACCGACGGAAAAACGATGGAATTAGGTTAGCTCGTAAATTACGCTTCTTCTCTCTTTTTCCTTTTCTTTTTTCTTTCTCTCTCTCCTCTCTCTCTCTC